TTCATGTTTCATGACAACTCAACTCAATGCTGCTCTTGAATTCCTATTAGTTGAGTTGAGTTGAGTTACTTCCAGACCGGTAAGCGAAGTAAATGTATTTCATCCGCATAAAAAAATTTTTTATATTGCGTCATTTTGTATTACGATTATATCTCAAATTATAACAATTTTTGTTTTGGTCCATTTGCATATCACGTCTAAATACAAAAATAAAAGAAGAAAAGATTTAGTTAATCCATTAACAAGCAAATCTCAATAGGTTTTGTGACAAATGTCTATTATAGATAAATCTATAGATAAAAACAAATAATGTCGGTATGTATATGTCTTTTTAATAAATATAATTATATATAAGTTATCTTTTTAAATAATAAATAATATTTTTAAATATAGTTAATTACAAAGTTTCAGTGGACAGATGCTATGATAAAAATACTGTTAGCAGAAATGCATACACACGCAGAATCTTTTACTACCCCATTGAATAAATAAGTCTGGAAAAATATTGCATCTATCAACAGTTATGGATATAATTTGACTGCAGATAATTGTTATATAAAATGGATTGGTATGAAGAAAAAATATAAAACAATTAAAGACATGAAAAATCGAACTGGTGCAGCAAAACTTGGGAATATTTCGATATTATTGATGACGTGTTGGAAAAAAATTACTGCAATTGCATCGTTGTTCATTACATCAAATATACTTGATTTTATAATAAATAAACATATTTGCAATTCATCTGATGAGAAAATGAAAAGAAAATGAATTAAATGTCGAATCAACCAATATTTTGAAGAACAGAAATATAAGAAGAAGAAAATCGAAAACAAGAGTCTGAATGAAAGCATTAATAGAACAAAAAGAAAGACATTATCAAGAAAAGTGTGCGCAAAAAGAACGATTTTTATCTTTATTAGAAAAACATTTCAAGATATAAAACAGGAAAGAATAGAAAAATATTTTTAAACATAATATAATTTTTATCACATATTTTGTATTCTTTAATACGAGAATTTATTTTCTTAATATAACTAAAAATTGATTTCATCAATATCTAAAATATAACATATTTATACTTCTTATATTTTCGTATGTTAACATTTCACTTTATATGTTCCCTTTCCATGTTTGAAAATATGTGATACTAAAATTATATTATTAGTATTGTTATATATTATTAGATTGTGTTTAAAAGTATTATATTTAAAAGCAAGTTTATTTATTTTTTATTATAACAAAATGTTTTAAGTTTTAGGCAAATATAATTATATTGTATGAATTACAAACATCTGTTGTAGTTAACAAGATAAAGTCATTGTTATTCATACTCACTCATAAGTTCCTATAAAAATGTGCATTTTAGAATATTAAGATATATTAAGCATATAACTAACTGTTGTACTTAATAATATTGATATTTTTGTTTTGAAATAGTTTTGAGTTTATTTTAAAGTTATATATTACGTTATATGTTTTAAAGTTATATGTAATAAATGTTTTGAATATGATTATACATATATGTGTTATTGGCTTTTTTATCATTAGCCTGATGCCATATCTTTTATCCTTCAAAATCACATAAAAAATAATATTTATTATCAAATATATTATAATTTTCCTAAATAAAAGTTTATAATTATTTTATATAAATTTTGTGAAAATATCTTATGATCTTATATTATTTCTATAATTAAATTATATATTTATTTAACTCTTTTAGTATCATAACAAGCATATATACAGGATATACGTCGAGTATGCTCATAGCACTAATCATTTTGAATAGGAAAGTATACATACATAGATACATACATACCGCACTTTGTTGTTTACTTTATTTCCTTAACAGTTTTATACATACATACATATATATATATATATATATATATATATATATATATATATATAAGTAAAACGTAAACA